TATTAAGTATATAAATATATATATTTACACAATCAACAGGCTAAAGAACAATAAGTTATTCGGTAGAAAATAAAATGAAACTTTTTCGTTAAATAAAAAAAAAAACAGAAGACAAATACAGAGAAGAATGTTGGAAAACGGAGGTAAAAAATTAAATTAAATAGCACAGCTTTTTGGTCCATTGAAACTTAATCAACTAAATGTTAACGGGCAGATCATCTGGCACGATGTATATGGTAGTGACTTGCGTATCATCAGATTGTGTAGGAGTAGTTGTTGCAGTCCCATCAGAACTACTTGAATGTCGCGAATTAGATTTCTCCAATGGCCAGTGAGTAGCCTTCGGACTTTCGGGGCGTTCATCCACACCTAATGATATATCTGCTATTATTCCACTTTCTAAAATGCAAAGGGATTAGTTAAGCGATGTAATGGATATTAAAATCGATTTCATCGTTGATATGGGCTCTGATCACAACGTTCAAAACTGGAATGAGGACATAATATATGTCGAGAGTTTGTCAGAATTTTTCTGAACGTTTTGGTATTTGGATTTCGCTTGTTGGATGGATAGATAAACCGTTTTGTTTGTACGTTATGATAAGAGTTTGTGTGGTGACCAGATGGGTTTGTGAATGCGTACCTACGGAGCATTGACTGTTCAGTGTGCCAGATCTATGAAAAGCTTTTGGACTATCGCACGAAGCAGAGTCAAAGCTTAGGTTAGCAACTGTCGCAGTGTTTTGTACGTTTCCGCCGGAAGTCGAACTTCCGGAGCTCGTGCTGCTCGACGATATACTCGACATTGAAATGATCGAATGAGGTCTCTTCATGCTTCGGTAAAGCTCGGCAACTGGACCTACTATCGAATTTCTGAAACGTGGGGCAGCTGAAAAGATGATAGATGAGGTTAATTCAGCAAAACGTCCAACGCCTGTTAGCAAACAAAGAAAAAATAACATGTAGCACTCAACTCATTGCCTAATTACATACATGCATAAAATAAATCTTAGATGACGGTTAAGGCAAAACAGAAACGAATATTTTCTGATGTACAGGAATAAATATTTAATGTTATTATTATGTCTCTTCTTGGTATACATCTGGATGTGGGGACCGTCCCTAGGTTGAAGGGGGGAGAAGAATCGGTGGGTGACCTTGTAGAACACCAAAACAGTGTTTCTATGCGGGGGCGGATCGGGGGAGGCGCGAGGGGTGAAATTAAAGAATCGAATAAAAATATATAAATAGATAAATTGTTAATTTATGTGAAAAATATATTCATTTTTGTTAGGTCCGAATTTCTGTAAACAATAGGAAGGGCAAGACGAACGAAGTGAATGTTGTCGTGGTCATTTTTAACTATGTATAAGAATTGAATAATTCAATGTCCCTCTACCCCAATCTACATTAACCGTTTAACTAATTTTGTTCACCCCCCATTTAAATGCACTTTTTTAGTATTCTACAAGGTCATCTTCTACCCTGTCTCCACCTCCATCCCTCACTCCGACCCATGGTCGGGTCATATATATACAATTATTATTTACCCCATTTTCAACTTTTAGTTCCACCCCCTGCACTTCCACATGTCTGCTTCCAACTAAAACCACTTATGTAGGGTTCTACAAGCTGAAACCCTAAACCCACCCGTTTTCCATCACATCGAAGCGATGGTTCATACATCCACACGTTTACCTTTTATTTAATATTTTTTATATTTCTAGCTGTTCCTGTACCCTTTAATTTAATAAATTTATCGCGTGGAGTTTCCAAAAGAAATTGAAACAATTTCCGTCATTCAAATGGACAAATACGTCACGCTCTTTTTAATATTTTCTTTCATACGGAGTTTCCCAAAATTTTCTCTTAGTGGTTCGCTACGTTATAGAATCAATTTATGTTTCAAAATCAAAATTTATTTCTTTCGATTAAACAGTTGATCGATTGATTCTTTAGTCAATCGGTCAGGACCTTTCTTGTGTGTGCAATATTTACTGTAAGATTAATTAATTACTTACTTTTACTTAATTGAGCTACGCTAATGGATCGGTCGCTTATTTGGTCGGCACTGGGTTTTATGTCCAAACATGGTTTATTTCCAATTCCCATCGAAGACATTTCGGCCATTCGCACTTCTATAATTAAAAAAAAAAAACAAATGAAAATTATTAATTAATCTATTGCTACCCCCAATTGATAATGTATATGTCACATACCTCTATTTCTAATAGCCTGTTTCCATAAAAGCTGAGAAAGTTCTTCAGACCAAGCCTTTTTGATATCTTCAGACATGGATTGTAATGTGAACGTATCGTTCGGTTTCCTCTTTCTAAACCAAATTTCGAACTTTGTCGGACTATCACCTATTTTGGCAGTTAATCCTATGTCAGTCATTTTGATGCTGTTTTTGTAAATGTATAAGTCGAGATTCTGCAATGAAAATGTGCGGTTAGTTCAGTTTCAAATGAAATTAGAGGAAAATCGTTTACCTTTTGATCTGGGAATCTTCTGGCTTTACTAAACAGTATCAGTTCTTCAAATAGAAAAACTTGCCTTAGCGATTTTTTACCCGATCGTCCTTCCCATACTATGAATTCATTTTGTCTTAGTAACCTTCCTTGTTCTTTCAGATTCACCTGAAATATTAATAAAGTACGTTCGTTATGTTACAAAGTCAGGATTTTTTTGTAAGGAGGGCTAAAAGAATCTAGTGTCTAAATCATTTAACACATATTTGAGTGACTTTTTATAAATACAAGAAGCAGATTAAAGACTTACATCACATTCCCGTATAGAATCCATGGCTAGTAAGTCATTCCCGTGTCGTAGTTGAAATCGTACCATTTGTTCAGCTTGCTTCAAATCTTCCTGTTCGGATATTGCCCTCTCGGAAGCAGTTGGAGGTAAAGGAGGACAGGCTTTCATCATTTGCTGAAGAAGTAACGCATATTTTCCCATTCTTTGAACGGGTTTCAATAAATAACTTGCGAGGTCCATTTTGTCTTCTAATTGAATTTGCTTTGTCTGTAAAACAAAAATAAATTCCATTTGAAGATCAAAGAAAATGCTTGATTGAGCTAAAATGTACTACCTACCTTGAAAAATGTTCCTCCATATTCAGACATTAATGAATCCGATTTTGGTTTATTCTTATTATATAAAGCGTACAAGTAGAATTTTTTGTCGTGCTTCAAAAATATCTGGCCAACTTGTAGAGGATTGTTTTCGCATTGCTCTAGTTCCCTAAGGAAATGTTGACTGTGGAATTCATAAATTTTTTCTATATTTCCGAACACAACGTTTCGTTGACCGCGAAGTGCCTGAGGAATGTCTTCACGCATCAGCTCCGGTATGTAATTTTCTATTACATAATCTAATGAATTTACGTAGTCTCGTTCAGTTTGAATCATTTCTCTCATTATGAATAAAAGCGTTCTAAAAAATAGGAATTTGTCATTTTTGAAATTTAAATTGTGGTAAGTACTCACTTTTGAGTTTTTGGATCAATTTTAGATTCGTTATCTATTGGCAGGTGTAAAGTTGAGGAATGGCAGTGTAAATGGCTATTGGCAGAAATAGGAGAAATTTTTCTTCTTTCTTCGTTATAGTGTTCTTCATCAATGTCATCACTTCCACTGTGAAATAAAGCTTGTGAAAATCTGCGTCAAGTTTGAATATTACTTGTTCTACATTGATAATTGCCTCAGTTGTTTTAGTCCTTTCTAAACTTTGCTTACATTCGCAGAACATTAATCACAACTTAGTAGGCAATTTGCCTATTTCTATTTTCGACAGTTTATTGTCTTCTTTACGAGAAGGCCATCGCCCATATTTTCTATTCAATTTTAGACAAAACTATATTACTAAGACAAGCACCCCGCCCATGAAGCTTTTTCTGTATCCCAATATTACAGTGATTATTTTGATAAGACCTTTGTAGGTATTTAAAGANTTATCAAATCATTTATTTTACAGTGGATTACATTAGTGTTCTTTGATGTACCATTTAATTACGTATGTACGCCCCCTTCGCCTTGCAAAAAGTCCGGTCATTTCGGTTTTAACTGAAAAAGAAACCAATGTTAAAAAAACATCTAAATTCCATGCTTTTATATACTCTCTTTAAAAAATTAAATTATTAGAATTGTAATATTTTTTGTATGTTGGGTTGTCTATATAAGTGTTTATTGTATTATGAATTGTATTTCAAAAGAAAATCTAAATTTGCATTCCTAACTGGATCTATATGATGGGAATCTATTTTAAAGATGGAACTTCATCAAGTTACTTCAATTGAACCGGAATTATAACCTAATTAAAGGTTCGTTACAAGGAATCGAACTGTTACCTCACCCAGCATACAGCCCTGATCGAGCATCTGAGATTGGTTCACGTCTAAGACAGAAGATTGATATCGTCAAGATATAAAACAATAGTCTGAGCGTTGGGTATTGATCATTGAACACAATGGTTCATATTTTGAATATTAAACTGAGTGTTTTAATATGATAGATATTCTTAATATTAAATGATGAAAACCGCAAGAACTCATCATTCACCCTCTGTATACCTAATCTTAAAATCATTAATGGTAGAAGACAAATGTCTAGTAAGGTATATAAAGCCACAGAAAAATTAATGAAAATAAAATTACTCATTTCGACATCCGCACATTCCACCGAAGCAAGTGTAGATATAAATAGCTGCCGGTACCTCATCTTCCGGACAGACTAGACACATAGGATCACTCATTACTATCCGTAAAACGTGCACCATAGCCTGCAATCAAAATGATATTAAAAAAAAAAACGAAAATCAAAACACTTGGTTAAATACCGCTATCCACACAGCTATTCCAATGCCACAATAGATAATATACAAAAGTAGCAATCCTGTTACGATATAAACTATTAAGCATGCCGTAACTGCCAGTAGTAATGTACAAACTGCTGCAATAAACATGAACAGGTTGCTAGAGATATCGCACTGGAAAGGAAAATCATAAGTTAGTTTAAAATCATTTTAATTTAAAATTTCTTTTGGGCTTTTTTAAAACATTAATAAATAATTTGATGAAGGTTAAAAATGCTTTATTGTCAGCACATTGTTCCGATTGGATATCGAAATAAATGAAAAGAATGATTTACAAAAACTTGGTTTATATTGCAGATGCTGAAATAATAGCGTTTTAAATGTTTTATATTTTGTGTTTAAGCTGCTTATACCACCTTAAAGAATCGAGACCTGCCACAGTTTAATTACGGCAGAATAAGTTTTTTGAAAGAATTCAAGGTGCGCGCGGAAATCGTCAAATTTTCACTGTTCTTATGTCAAAATGTAAGGTATCGCATAGCAGGGCGCTAAACGTCTAAGTTGGGTGAGCTTGCAAGTGGGTCATTCAAATTTTTGGAGCTTTCGGTTTTTTTATGGTTCTAGACAAAAAATTCTTTAACTAATTTAGATACGTTAGCTTCTATTTAAAATTTTCCACTATACGTCCCCACCTCGACGTCTTTACCTCTCGCTCCCACCTAGAAGACCTTATTCAGTGTTCTACAAGGTTATCCCTACCTCTTCACTCGCATCACCCGTTCGACCGACGGTCGCTTTATCCTCACTTTCACCGTTTTCGTTTTTCATTTCCACCCCTGTGACTTCACGTCTTTGCTCCCATCCAAATGCACTTTTTTTGGTATTCTACATTTATTCTAATCTGTCTATGACCAGGGATTACATATTATAAGCAATGATCTTTTGCACGGTAGTAGTTTTCGAACAGCGTTATGTATACCTCACCCTGTATTTACACTAAGTAGGTGCCCGACAGATAATCTAAATTCCTAGTAGGTATTTTTATTAATTAATGAAATCTGAATTACCCCTGTAGGTATGGAGCAAACTCTAACAAAAGCTACCATCGCCAAAAGAAGCCCCGCTGCTGTAATTACAATGTATGGATAGAATGCAGCAAGTACTCCAAAACCTATGATACCAAGGAACATCTAAAACAAAGATAGAGCTACTCAATGCCATTATCTACTAATTATCTACCTTTCAGAATTTGAAGATTTTCTTCATAATTTATTCGAATTCTATGTTAAATAGTCAATCTAGATTACAAGTGAATTAAAAGTTGCTAACTTTATTTTAGTCTGTACTACTCAGATTGCCTCATACAGACTAAGTATGTTGATGCACACGCAAAATTTTAATAACCTTACAGTGTTTACTAATACAACGATATTATTGTATTATAAATTATAACGTCTTGTAAAGCAATGGTAATTGTACTTACGTATAAAACCAAAAGCATAATATTAGCCGGGTATTTTGTGGGAAGCCAAGGAACACAACACCCTGGAACGAATGGCAGGATCACATACAGCCCCCTAATGTATACAAATAATATAAATGTTTACGTATTACCAAAATTTTTGAAAGTATATCTTAAAATTGTATATTTGTGTTGACTTTGGGGGTGAATTTAACTGTCTGCGACAATGACGTTTACGTTTTAGTTAACGAGTCTGAGCGCATTACTTGCAGCGTAAAAATTGGGGAATGACATTGAAAATATTTTTAATGATCAGATGCAAACATTTTGATGGATATTACGACATGCCCGAAAGCGAGGGAAAGTATAGAACTTGCGCGATTAAAACTGAAGAACTTTAGGTATGGAAGTCCGCTGTTTTCGATAGGATTTCATTTACAGGCTATATCATGGTCTTCAGGAGAATGCCATCATTTTGGTTTTAAGTGTATCTATTCCAGCTTCTTGAATCATTTTGGCAAATTCCTCTGTCTTTATTTCACCTACATCATCTCTACATTCTTTTCACAATCATCACCACCCATTTTCACGTGTTCTAACCAGCATAACCTGATGAGAATAAAGCTTTCAAAGTTTTTTCGAATGAATTTCATATGGTGTTTGCTTCTCCAATTTCCTCGATGAACGAAAGTCCAGATATTTCATATGGGTCTGAATTGCAGTCAGAACGTATGAATCTAACCAAATGTGTAACGTTATTCTGTCATGCGTTCAAAAAATGTTTAGCTAGAAATTGCAGTTCATCAGCACTAGTTTAGTCTGGTTCTATATGTTTCACCTGGACTGCCCAGACAAAACATTTACGTTCGGATAGGTTCAGTAACTTGGGCCATGAGCGAACCATTTCCACGTTACAAACATAGTTGATCATCTGTAGTAGATTTTGTCTAATAGTGATGTCCTTATCGTCAAAATGATTCTGTTCTATTTTAACCCGTTAGTAACTTGCCACCACAATCTTTGAAACAACCCTATCCACCCAGTTTCGAATTCCACCACTGATGTTGCCATTTCCACTAGGCAACATAGTACCAAGTACCATAATGCAAATTTTTGTTATAAATGATATCTTCAAATACGTACCAACCAACCGGGCTTATTAAGGTCATGACCTATATCATTCATTTGTACATACTTTTGGGGTAGGTTCGGGCTCCAAATAAGCACATACATTATTTATTGACTTCTTGTTAGAATCCTAACGTGCTTCCTAGATGCGTTTAAGTAAATATGTATGTAGTCTATTGGTTTTTATTGTTAGAATGCCTAGCTTTTACAGAAATCAAATACCTTACGTATTTTTCATTCATTTACAGGTCCCTCTTGCTTCATTTGATCACCTAATAATTTACAGTCACTCCAGGCTCTCACCGTATACGAAAAGAACCTCATCATAAGGATTTGAATACATGTATGTAAGTACACTGCTTTCATTATTATCAATATTATTTTATTGATATTTTGGTGGTATTTTAATTAATGTTAATATTAAAACTAACTATGGTGATGTTGTAATGAAACATGTTTAATATTTGAGAATCAAACATCTACTGTTTCGATTCTCAAATAATTACAGTAAAATTGCTGGGTGCATATAATGAAAGGTAACATTAAATTTTGGTTTAATATTCCTATTGCTTAGTATTTATAAAGGTTTTATAAAATGTCATTATATACTTACAGCATTGTAGATATTAAGATTATAGATAACGTACGATGGTCTCTGAAATACTGTGCTATGGGTGATCTGAAACGAAGGTGCGTTTAAAAATATTAGAACTACCAGTGAAGTGTACAACCTTACACAAAAGCAAATATGGCAATTCCCCCTACTGTAACACAGTAAAGAATAAACAAGAATAAAAATACTTGCCGCATAAAAGCATGCCGAGTGTCCACAGGTTGAAAAGAATCCTCAGTAGTTTCCTAAAAAAATATTACAAAAGTAAACATTGAATATATATTCAAAGTAGATTAATGTGTACGGGTGCGATACATAGACGGTGGGCGCGGCGGAAAAGAAAAGGTTAGAAGCGTTACAGCCGAACGAAAAAAAAAACTTTTGGGTGTTCCATTCCCACCAGTCACTCTAATGCTGGTGGGCGGGCAGTCCCTCCGGGCTACGCCGGAAGGTAGGGCGGAAGGCCCTCTTCAGCCTCCTTTCAGGAATCGTGGGAATCGGTGGGTGGTGGTTCGGGTGAGAAAGATGAGACGGACGAAATAAAGACAGAAGAGAATGAAAGATTATATGTGGAATATTACTGTCCCAGCATTTGCCTAAGTGATCCAAGGAAACCACAGAAAAACTTGGACCAAGGCAGACGGACCCGGAATCGAACCGGCGTCCTCCCGAATGCTAAGCACTGGTCTAAACCTCTAGGCCATGCCGCTGGGTCAGACGAATGATGAGGATACCGTAATATATACTGATATGCAAGGGAAGAAAAAGTAGGGAAAGTGCGAATATAAAGGTAGAAGATGAAAAATTAGAACACATGGCTGATTTTAGGAATCCAGGAAGGAATAGTAGGGATATAAAGCAAAGGATAGCGTAGGGTTGAGTCGCCTTAAATATCTATAAATAAATTAAGAAGTTATTTTTAATACTCAATAAAACTAAGCCACCACTGCATGGTGCATTGAAATATTTTTTTTATGATAAAAAAAATGCTCACCCATCGCACTAATGGTTCCACGTAAACCTTCAGTCGTTGTCGAAAAGTTAAATCTTTTGGCATTTTATTGTATTTATTTAGTAGTCGTTTCTCTTCAATAACAGCACAACTTTCAACATTTCCTACAGTATCGCGTTGGTACTTCAACTGGAGCGAATCCGAAGACAATTTGTTATTGTTTATTAGCGATTGTAATGGAAAATAATTATATAGATTCGTTGATGCTTGTCTTTGAAGGCCTATATTTTTTTTGTAATCTTTTGTGAATGTTAGTAAGTGAATTGTATTTTGTTGACTATTAGTATGAAGTTCTTCTCTGTTCTCTTGTGAATCTGTTTCACTGGCAACTGATATATTTTCAAAGTCTTCAAAATCGTAACAATGTTTATCCGGTTTTAAATCGCCTCTGTTCTCTTCATCATACTTGCTCTCTTGGTCACTTTCCTTTTGAGAAAAAGTTTGTTTACCATTCATATTCTTTAATATTAGTCTAATTTGCAATTCTGATGTGACATTTACATATTAACATCTTTTGCAATACTTCTGATCTTACAAATAAATGTGACATTGACGTTTCTGAGTATTGAAACATGGATATCCTTAACGAGGGCATATTTAAGTTAGATTGAGTCCTAGACTAAAATTGCAATTATCCGGATAGAGCTTATTTAGCGACCAATTTTTAGGTAAATTACATTTTTTCTTTCTTTTTTGTTTACCATGTACATAGCGCTGCTTGTAATGTACTTAGTACTATGTGTAGTACTAGTAGTGTTTAGTTTATCTTCGTCGTTCGATTATCAGCAATGTTTACATTCTCCGTCCATCTGACTGCAGTTTTATCGTACTACGCTATTCGGTAGACACCTTACTTGCCGCACGCACAGGACCGACTTCGGATTTTTTTGCCTTTAATCACACCACTGAACTCACTGTGCGATTATTTATTGCATCAAGTTTACCCCCTCTATAGCTCGGCACTTACTTTTGTTACACCTTGTATATATATATTACCTCCCCCTCGCGAGTCCATGTAAAAAATTTTAAGTCAACGAATCATTCTTTTTATGTTTACTTAAAGGCAGAAACAATTTTCTTCTATTTCTAAAATTCTTCTGCGTCTTGTTCTCCTCACCCTACTGCCTTCATATTTCTTGTTTGTATTCACTCATTATGTTTCCCCCCCCCTTCTTTTTTGTTAATCCCAATCTATTTCAAGGTTAAGTTCGAAATGAACGTATTTTTTTCATATAAATTGTTATTTAAATGAAGACATCTTGCTTATGATATACCTATATTTCACTAATCGTAAATGTATAAAGTATTACAAAAATCATACATAAATCTTACAGTATAGTAGGCTATACGTATCGTCCTAGAAAGAAAAACAAGTTGCACTATAAGCGCTACTGTCTTGATTTTTCTTACGCACAAATAAATTTGCAACTTTTAACAAAAAATAATAAAAAAAAAAAAAATAATAAAATAAAAAGAAAAAACAATTAAAATTCGCAGTGATTTGATTTATAAATAGTTTCCATATGTATAAATGCACAGGTACACAAACTAACAACAAAAATAGCTTTGCAAAGTTATGATAATACTCAAAGTAAATATTTCGAGTTGTTATATTAAGTATATAAATATATATA